GCATTTCCTTCCTATGTATTTATTTGCCTTTGAGTGCCCCTGTATAAACAATCTGTCATTAGTTTAAAAGCAAGACAATACATGATTTTCACAGTTGTCAATGAAAATAAGAAACTGCACCTTCTGCCCTTGTTTCTAGTTGATACACCTGATAAAACAAATGCAACATCCTGAGTTCACTCCAGAAATCCTATATATTCATCTTAACAGTTTTCCCCTTTTCTGATGATCTTATACCATGAGATCAGTAAGAATTTCCAGGAAAAAATAAAGATGATATAATGTGCACATTACAATTTGCTTAAGTACCTGATCATCTGTTGCTAATGATTGGAGATTTTTTTTTATAACTGCCTTAAAATTCATGTAGAAATCAAATGGTAAGATTTGGGGTGACTGAATATAAAATGTGAAAATAAAAGCTCAGACATCAAAACTTTCTTCAAAGTACCTTCAAATAAAATTGTGAAGGAGGGAATTTAAGACCAGCATCTAATAGCCAATGTTACTATTCCTGCTTCATTCTGTATGTGAATTCATGTCAAAATATGAAGTGGAAAACGATTCTGAACGCCTACTGCAAAATCATGCCTATGAAATTATGTAGTGTTTCTATGGGCCAGGCAGCCCTTGAAGTGCTTTACTCACAGTAGTTCACTTAACCCTCACAACAACCCAAAAAAGTGGGGATTGCTGTCACACCCACTTTACCTTTGAGGGAACTACAGATAGAGAAATTAAGAATGAATCCAAGGTCACTTAACGAGCAAGTGGCAGAAACAGGCATTCAACTGGGGCAGTGGTTGGCAAACTCATTAATCAACAGAGCTAAATATCAACAGTACAACGATTGAAATTTCCTTTGAGAGCCAAATTTTTTAAACTTAAACTATATAGGTAGGTACACTGTTATTAACTTAATTAGGGTACTCCTAAGGCTTAGGAAGAGCCACACTCAAGGGGCCAAAGAGCCGCGTGTGGCTCGCGAGTCGTAGTTTGCCGACCACGGAACTGGGGCAGTTCAGAGCCTATTTCTTAACTACTCAACCAAACAATACAGTTTTCCTAGAATCTGCTGCTTCTCCTAAAAAAATGAGAGGGGGGGATCTTTGCCCCTAGAAAAGGCTGAAATCATAAGAAGTCAGGTAGTTATGCTAGAAATCTAAAGCAATACCAGAAGTGTTGCCAATACTTCCCGCCTCTTCAACAGGCATTATTGGGAATGAGATACACTTCCAGCCCTGATGAGAATGTCCCCAGTCTCTTAGTATAGCATCAGCCTCCTGAGTCACAAAGTTGTTTAGTAAGTAAAAGTGCCTTGAACTGTAAACCAATCAATATGAGACACTTACATTTGGGCGTCCCTGACTTGTCCCTCCCTCTGTCTCATTTTCACACCACGGCCCTCAAGTCTTTTCAGGTCTGTCTACTCTGTGTGTGGATTGTCACGGGAATATCCCAGCTGGCCTCTAGAACTTTGGCCTCTTGTGAGGCCAGCGTTTCCTGCACAGTGTTGCCACATTAACCCGCCTTAAATACTATTTTCTTCACAACGCTTCTCTGCCCAAAATTTTCTGTGCTAAAGCTTTTCTCACCTGAAAGTTGAGGCTACGTGAAAGATGACAGTTAAAATGGTGAGAAGTTATACTGGGGCTTCTTTTCTGAATTCATCTCTAAAAAGCTCCCCCTCAACAAAACAACAAGAATGCCCACTGCATGGGAGAACATATTTGCCAATGTTATCACTGATAAGGGTTTAATCTCCAACATTTACAAGAAATTCATACAACTAAACAACAATTTAACACTTTAGACTTTTAGGAGTTAATGTTTTAAAAGTCAGTGTTTTCTGTACTACATGTTATACATATGTAATTTTGCTTTTAAAGCGTTCAAAATTAATCCTACTTTCAAGGCAAATATTAAATAAATGAGACCATTGTGGTGTTACTCTTTGAAATTTTTAGTAGAGTGAAATTCCTGTATTCTAGATATCTCATTAAAATTATACTTCAATCAATATAATAAAATATTTATGCAAAGAAGAAACTTAATGGCAAGTACAGGTTTCATTTGTCCTTATTGGAGTTTGGTTTAAAAGGAGACTAAGCAGAAGTTTCTTTTTGGATTGTGAGAGCTCTAAAATTTGAATAGTTCATAGCAGCACAATTTACAATAGCTAAGATTTGGAAACAGCCTAAGCACCCATCAACAGATGAGTGGATTAAAAAACTGTGGTACATCTACACAATGGGATACTACGTGGCGGTAAAAAAGAAGGAATTCTTACCATTTGCAACAGCATGGATGGAACTGGAGAGCATTATGCTAGGTGAAATAAGCCAGTAAGAGAAAGATAAATATCACATGATCTCACTCATTTATGGAATATAATGATAAACATAAACTGATGAACAAAAACAGATCCAGAGACAGAGAAGCATCAATCAGACCGTCAAACCTCAGAGAGAAGGTAGGGGAGGGTGGGGGTAAGGGATAGAGATCAACCAAAGGACTTATATGCTAGCATATAGGCCTAACCAATGGACACAGACAACAGGGGATGAGGGCATGAGTAGGGAGGGATGGGGGGTAATGTGGGGATATGGACACATATGTAATAACTTAATCAATAAAAAAATTAACATTAAAGAAATAAAAAGCTCCCCCTTTTTACATTCCAAAATCCCTACTCCAATCTGTAAGTATGGCCTGAAGTCCAAATGAATAAACACTGCCCATTTATCATCACACAGCATCTCAACTCCTCCGAAATTCCCGTGGTATTTATGACCCACATCTCCTTGCTAGGTCATCTGCCTCTGGTGTCAGACCTCTCTCCTCTTTCATGCACATTCCCAAACTTTATTTGGGGTCCTCCTCTGAGCACAGCTTTCTAAGTCCAACTGAGCTCAAACCTACCTTCCACACAAACCTTTCTAAGTACACCACCCTCAATGATGTCCTTTCCACACACAGAACAAGATGGTTTACAAAACATTTTGTGTTTACTTTATTGCATTTCCCTATCTACAAATAAATATGAACATTTTTTTCATGTTTACTGTCTATTTATATTTGCTCGTCTGTGAACTGCCTATTCACCTCCTTTGCTCATTTTTCTACAGAGTGGTTAATCCTATTTTTTCAATATGAAAGAACTTTTGTGTATTCCAGATATTAAAATGTTGTCATCATATGCATTATAAATATTTGAAGAACACTGCTCTTCTTTTTATACTTAAAAGCTCTCCCTGGCTGATGGTTAGAGCATGTACCTGGGTTGCAGGTTCTGTTCCCGGCCTGAGTCAGGGCGCTTGCAGGAGGCAACCAACGGATGTGCCTCTCTCACATCAATGTTTTGCTCTCTTCCCTTTTGCCCCCTCCACCCTTCCTCTTTCTAAAAATCAACAGAAAAAATATCCTTGGGTGAGGATTAACAACAACAACTACAAAAATTCTCAGATACTACCTTCTCCATATGATAAACTCTTACCATTTTATGTTTTTCAGTTATAGTTTTACTCATTTACATCTCTTCATGGTGAAATGTAATTAGGACATTTGAAACTTGAAGAATGGATATTTTCAAAGTTGAAAGCACTTTAAGCATATAAAACTTACTGTATGATATATTGTTGACTTTGCAAATGTTATCTTTTTTCACTGAAAGAATTTTAAATTGTTTTATAGTCAAGTACATCTATTTTTTATTTATTTTTTAAAATATTATTGAATTACATATGTCCCCTTTTCCCCCCATTGACCTCTTCTAGTCTGCCCACCCCCCACCACCTCCCGCCCCATCTCTAGTCTTAGTTAAAAACAACTCTGTTATCTCTATTTGATATGTATGGTCTCCTGGGTTTTCTTTTTAAGATTTTAAAGTTATTTTATTGTTTACATTCACATAGTTAATCCATCTGGAATTCATTTTTTATATGGTTTAAGGTTCAGATCCAATTTTATTTTTACCCTGATGGATGACCAGTTATGTCAGCACCATTTATTAACTAATCCAACTTTTTCCCACTGACTTGAACCAACACTTTTATCATATATTAAGTTTTTATACATATTGGAATCCATTTCAGGATTCCCTTTTCATCCTACTAATTATTTATCTCTTACTATACCAATCCCATATTGATTTAATTTCAGTGGTTTTATATTATGCTATGGTAACTTATAACTTAAGTTCTCCCTCACTGGTCTTCATTTTCATACTTTTAGAGCTATTTTCAGGCATTTCCTTTTCATTCAAACTCTAAGATCATTTTATCCATATTTTTTCAAACCTGTTGCAATCTAATAAAAATTGCATGACATGTATGTCTATGTATGTA